CTGATCTTGCAGAATATATTAGGCAGCAGCTTTCAGGGTGACTGAAAACCGAGGAAATAGTTCTAATTAAATTCCTTAAAATACACAAAACATTAGGCTTTTCTGGGTATGAACCACATTTCTACTTTGTGCTACATAAAAAGAGGATTAAAATCAAGTCTAAATTGAGACCAGCTTCCAGCAAAGAGCAATTACCAAAAGGGCAACTAGAGTTTAATTTACATCTCCAAAAGATCCATCTTCCCTTTGGATACTGATTCTGAAGTCCTCATCAAAATAATCACCACCAAGCACCCGATCAAATGCCCCGCAAATGTTTTCTACTGACTTCAGTAGTTGTTGGAGCATTCCCTAATTGTCTGACTCTACTAATGAACTAATCTCATACACCTGGAACAAACAGGCTTCATGCAGGGAAGACCAGGCTCAGATTCCCTAAGAAATGCTCCAAACATATTCAGACAAATCACTAACTCAGCAGATGTGCAAACAGAGCTCTTGTCATGTCACTGGACACACAGACATGCACTGCTTCGGCTCAAAGATGACTTTGTTGTGTGGAGTAAATCTGTTCCAGAGACCAGGTGGACATTTTGGAGAATCAGGGTGCTAATTATCCCTGTTACTCTTTACATCAGCAGTTAAATCTCTTGCCAGTGTGACATTTTTTTCACAGACATAGGACATACATATATACATACATGCGTGTATATGTATATAAATGTGTGTGTATGTATGTGTACACACACACACGTGTGATATTCTGCTATTTAAGGAAAAAAGGAAGAGAAATAAAGGGAGTGGGGTGGCTGTGGATCTTAACAAGCAACCTAATACAGGAACTTAAATCTCTGGCTTAAATCTAATGAAATATACTGGTAAACCGTCACCCACTCTGGCGATCTTTAAAAAGCATCTTGATGCCCATCTTGCTGGGGTCATCTGATCCCAGCAGTCTTTCCTGCCCAAGTGCAGGGGGTGGACCCAGTGATCTGTAATGTCCCTTTCAGGCCCTAATAACTATGAAACTGTGAAAAGAGAAGCCACTTAAGTTCCTAAAATCTCAAGTTTTATAGCCAAGGATATTTTTCATATCTTGAAGAAATAATCTACCCTCAGGTTAAGCCCCTTTAAACAAACTACCACTTCAAACTATTTTAATACACACATCCAGTAAATCAGACTTTGCTCCTGACTTCATCCAGGAAACCATAGCTATATGGGAACAGGATAAACTCACTTAGATTTGAAACCTGAACAACCTAATTAATAACACAGACTTCAAAAATTAGACTTCTACATCATTCTTGTACTACAACAGAACATCACTTGCAAAGACCTGCAGCAATATTCAATCCTGAAAATAAATTGCATGAAAGGCTATTCTAAAGAATGAATACTCATTTTCTAGAGGCTCTGAATAGAATTCAAACCAGTCAGTATAAACAATGGAAAACTTGTTAGGAGGATGTCTTAATAACCTGCAAAAGGGACTCCTGTGCAGATTTTTTTCTAAAATCATAATAGTATTTATTGTTAGTACTGTGTCATAAAATGTGCTTGCTCAAAGGCATTTCAATCTAGAATACTAAGCCTTGCTATTTTGGAGGATATGGTAATAAAAAATAACTAGGTGTCCCTCCACACCCAATAAAAGTATGTAGCACTCAGACGATAGCAATTATAGTCCCTTTTTCTTTTTGAAACCACTGTACATATAGTATCTTCTTAATGCAATTGTCCTGTCAGGGTAAGGAAGCTGAGAGAGAAAGGGAGATGAAAGAATTTGGACAAGGCCACACAGCAAATCAGTGGCACAGCCAGAATTAAAACTCAAGACCTCCTAACTCACCAGTAAGATCATTCCTCCCACCTACACTACCTTGAAATCTGGGGAGAGCACCAGCAAACTTGCTCCCTGACAATGTGCAAGAGAGCTGATGCCTAAACTGAAGAAAAGACATATCTGCACTAAATTGCTTGTTTATGTTAATTAGTAGCAGAGAGAGAATACTGCTATATGACACAGCATGTGTCTATGAAATGTGAGAACTGTATCCATCTTATCTGTTACCTGGATGCTGGTCACAGAAATGCCTGAGTTTCTTAACACCCACAGGCTTGCCTGTGTAAGGAAGGAATTAAAACTGAGTAAAAATTTCTGGAAGTGGCCCACAATCTATATTTTGAACAGTATCCTCTTCCTGAAAGCCTATGACACTCTTTTCAGTCGTCTTTCCACTTACTCCATGCTGTGCCCCACTGCGTTGCCTTCTGTTAATTCTCATTAAATCTTCAGAAGAAGAACATAGTGCCTACCAGATTTGTAACCTAGCTACCCTTCTGATTTTTTTGAGGGGATGGGCTGGCTCTCTACTATATTCATGGCTTTTTCAAGTATATGTTAAACATACTTGGGGAAATTTTGTAGCCAGGCTGGAACTGGTGCAGAGAAATAAGAGAGGACTGCACCTCAGGCCATCTGCCTAGAACTCCATTTAATTCTGCTGCTTGCTCTGCTTACCATCATGGTTCAGGGAATAATGGTGCCACAAACAACAAAAATATACCTCATTGTACATATGCAGGTAAGGTTCTTTGAGTAGATATCTTTTATTGGACCAACTGAGTAGTTGAAAAAAGAGAGCACAGTCACCCTTCTTCAGGCATAGGGAGTTTCTGCTGGTCTCAGAGATCAGCAGAGACTCCCCATGCTTGAAGAAGGGTGACTGCAACCAAAAGCTTACTAATAACTTTTTTCCAACTACTCAGTTCGTCTAATAAAAGAGATCACATGCACTCAAAGAACTTAGCCTGCCTATGTCCTTAGACCAACATGGCTACAACCAAAAACCCAATCTCATCAGACATGTATTCCTGACTTTACTACTGTGCATGAGCTAAATCAGCTTTAGAGAGAATGAACATTAAGGGCATTTATAGATATGCTCTGGGAGTGGGGGTGGGGTTGGGTGCTTTAATTAGAGCATCCCGAAGAGGCACTTAAATTAGAGCAGCTCAGAGCACCACATGTATCAACATCCCCATGCTGAAAAATGGCAGCAGGGATGCTTGAAATAAAGCTAGTCGAATGAGCTGTAGTGAAAGCGCCCCCGCCACCATTTTCAGTGAGGGGATGCTGATACATGTGACACTGGAGTCTGCTGGAGTGTGGTAATTACCATGCTCCGGCAGACTTGATTAATTGAGTCTGCTCTGAAGTGCTGTAATTACAGGGCGTCAGAGCAGCCTTGCTGCACATCTATAGGAGCCCTAAATGCCCACAAATGAGTTTGTGTCATTTCTGGCATGCTTCTGCAGAGCAGTTAGGCATCTCTCTCTTCTTTTACTGTCAGACTGTTTTAGCTGATGCCCAGTGTCACTGTTCAAAGCCCTGGCTGCCGACAACTTGAAGCAAAACAGATATCCTCGTTGGTACATTAAACAATTATAGCTGTATAAGGCCAGAGTAGTGTCAAGCATTTTAGCAAGGATTCCACTGTGGTATGTTCTAAGGAAAGTGGGTACATTGATTTACTAAAGTATTCCCAAATAACTCTTAGAATTTGTAATGTCTCCTAGCTCACCACAAACAAAAAAGAAAAAAAAGAAATTGGTTCACCATCTTAAATCAAGCATCTTTATGGAAAACCTCTTCCTGCTTATTCATGTTTTCTTTCTATTTTTAGTCATTTAATGGCAAGAAACTCAGCAATGTATCCTATCAAAGCCTTGCTTGATCCCATGCCCTCTGACTTGAAGTGGTGATTCTAGGTATTAATGTGGGTTTGGGGGCTTTGTGACTTTTAAAGCATTTATTCACATTTCATCTTTCATTACTGAACATTCTTCTTTTGAAGCACTTCTCCCTTAGTGGAGCCTTATTTCATTCTCCCAGAGGACAGCCTCACACTTCACAGGATCTTTGTACTGCTGCTAGCTAAGGGACGTATTGTGCTTCCACCTGCTTTTGCGCACAAGCTGAACTCTACTTCACCTCTCTCAGCACTGAAAAATATCTTCTACTGCAATTCAGGCCCTTGGCAGTCTGAACTTGCTGTCACACCTTTGTCTCCTGAATAACAACATACAGCAGTATTAAATCTTGCTTAGTTTGAAATAAATGGAGTAACGATGAAGTCCTGGTGAAAAAATGCAGCTTATAGCTCTACAAATGGAGGCTGGATTTTCAATTTATTTATAAAACTAAGTATTTTTTTAAAGGTTTCTGTTTTGCTTCCCAGTTTTGCATCTGCATTTATTTCTAGGCCTAGAAATAGGTGTAAAACATCAGGTACTTGGGATAAAATCATGGGTTTATGAAATTGAATGGCAACCACCCGTTGGCTTCAGTCGGGCCAGAATACGAGCCTAAAACATGTTGAAGTATTTCCATTTTTGATGCTTGTTAACAAAACCCAAAGGGCTAAATCTGCTTTCCCCCATCCTCCCTGATCTTCTCGGCCTACTGCAGCGCTCTACCACCATCTAGTATTGGTCCATGTCAGCAACAGTGACACTGGCCCGGATGCCCTTTGCTGTGAACCAGTATGGCAATAGCTTTGTTCCTAAATTTTCCTCTGTAAAAAGTTGGCTATAAAATTCAGCAAATTAAGATCCTCTTCTTTGTTTGATTTACTAAGACATTTCTCTCCTCCCTTTAGTAAATAATGGCTTCATATTATAGTATCAACAAGTTAGAAAGTCTTCAGTCAAATATTACTCTGTGGATAAAGCTGTCTGTATTTCCAGTACTAAGAACTGACAGGTTTCCTGCCATCTAATATTCAGACATGCAGGCATCCCCACAGTGTCAGTGTGGAAACATCTGTTGAATGGATTTATTGACGAGGTCTTAGGTGGGTGGGGTGAGAGGCGGGGGTTCACACTGTTTATTGCAGTCCTGACCTAATGAACTTAATTTGTTGACAAGTTTCTCTCAGTGTCTTACTTGATCCCTTCTCACATTTCTTTCTACTGTGCTGTTTTCTTGGCAACAGCAGCTCCTGGAGCATCAGCGTATCCACCAGTTGCAAATGTACCAGGCTCAGATGGCTACAGTTGGCATGACAGGATTAGATAAACATCGGCCTGTTTCCAGGACCCAGTCTTCCCCTGCTGCTTCCACATTACCTCACCCAGCAATGGACCAGCCCATCCAGCATGTCTACATGACTGGTAGGACTCCCTTAAGACCACTTTTAATAAGCAGAGTAAATGCACTGTTCATGTAGGATCAACTGATTTAAATGCCTTGAATACCTTTTGTAGCAACACATTCATTTTTAGCCTCAATCTTAGTGAGTTTCATGATGGTGTATTGGCAGTAAGTCATCCAGTGTAGCTGATAAATCACAGGGTTAAATATTCACACAGTCATAAATTATTATCATTGACTTACTACAGCAGAATAGCAACAGGTGCATTCTTGGTGCCTTTAAGTCATTTATAATTTTTACTTTATTTCCCTATCCTCTGCCTCCTTTCTCTGTGCTCTTTTTGCAACGGGACTGCCAAAAAGAGACCACCGGTAAGTTGCAAAGTTGGAATAGAATATTCAGCATCTTCATTTGATTCCAGTGGGAATGGCATTCAGTATTGCAGGGGTTGTCCTTCCCTTTACCACTAAAGCCATGGCAATGCAAGCCACAAAAAGGACACCAGCTAGTAGGTTGCATCATCTAGTTATATGTGAAATGTGTGGATGGAGAGATTTTTTCTAGTTAGAAATCAACTATTCTAGATGTTCAAGGAGCAGCTCATATGTATATTTTAATCATGGGAAAATATTAATTTTGGGTTTTTTTAAAACAAATATATGTTTATTTTAATCACAGAAAAATGTGGATTTTGGAGGGGGGGTGTATAAATTAGAAAATTTGGGATTTTTTTGTCAGAGAAAACCAGGATCCCTGAAGGTGACATTGTTCAAGAGACAAAATTACAAGGTAATAAAATTTCTCCTCTAATGATACCGTAAGTTTAAGATTTTCACTCTTAAAGACTAAAAAGCTTGAAGGATGTCACAAAAGAAACAAGAAACTTGACAGTGCTAAGCATATGAACAGAGTTAGATCCTGAATTTATAGGATCTGGACTGAGATGTGCGCAGCATGAATACATACTAAGACATACCTGATGGGGAGCTGGAAAAATGCCTGTAGGACTGATGGGAAAACATGATGGATAGAACAAAGAGATGAAGTTGTGTGTAGATTGGCTAGACATAAGAAACTTGAAGAAGACTAGGACTGGCTGGGCCAAGACACTCTGGGGAGCTCTTGGTTTGCATGTGAAAATTCATGCAATACATATACACAGAGGTGAGGCATTGGCAAATTCTGATATTTTCAAACTTGTGAGTGTGCACCTTGGTAATCTTGAGGTTCTGTTAATATAGCATGTATGTGTGGAATGCATGTACTGTATACAGATATATTAAGAGAGAATATGATTTATTATGTCCAGGCTTCACCAAGACCCTCTCTCAGAATTTGATGTTACTTTCTTCAGATGTTTTTCTGTTGCACCTTGTTTTTCATTCCCACCCTACAAAGGTTTTTTTTCCCAATGTCTTATATAAACTGACCATATGGTTTCTGAATATTTCATCCATTGCAATGTTCTTTGGAATTTATAGAAATGATTTTTTACTTTCCAAACTTTAATAGAAAAAATAGACCCAATTTTCCTTTTAGAGCACCATAGGTCAGCAGTTCTGAATTGCTGTCATTTGAGGATATGCCTAGATAGTACAATGCAGTAAAGTTTAGGGATACCTGAACTTGATCTGAACAAATTAGTTCAGGTAGAGGATGCAGTCTAGGCACGTTAGTGCAGCACTCTCCCAACCTATTTAGGGTATTAGTAGGGTATACTAGCCTATGAATAGCTCTACACTGGGTACTTCTACAATCACTGCATTTGTGCTGTATAGTCATGCTCTGAATTACGCAAGTGTGAAACTGATGAGAATGTAAATTCTTGTCTTTATTTAGAAAGGATCTAGTTTTGCAAGTTGAAGGTGCTTGTGAGGTCTGGGGGGCCTTATGGGTAGCACAGCCTGTCAGGTAAGTAGCCCCTCCCCTCAACTCATCCGCTACAACTTTGATGTTAAGTTATCAAGAAAGGGGGGTTCAGTGGAGATCTTCTTGGAAGGGCTTCCTGACAATGGCTGTACTCACGATTGTTTGGCGTGACGTTCCACGGGGCTCCTCCTCCCCTACACCCCACCCACTCACCAACCCAATAGGTGATTGTGTGATGGTGGTTTTGACCCCGCAGGCTTGCCCGCAGCCTGCTTCAGGTGCGGGGGGGACCCATGTCCAAGTGGGCTCCGTCAGCTGTTGTGCTTCCGACCTTGATGCCCCACCCTTCCCTCTCTCTCTCTCTTTGATTTTTTTTCTCTTTCTTTTTCTGTTTTCTTCAGAAGAAATGTTCTCCTGGGGAGGAGAGGGATGTGGAGCTGCCTCCTTTCCCCCAGCCTCCTACAGGGGGCTCAAATGCTTCCCCTGCTCTACCTCTTACAGGGAGCTTGAACGCTTTCCCTGGTCTGTCTTCCGCAGGGAGCTGCAGTGCTTCCCCTGGTCTGCCTCCTACAGGGGGTTGAAGTGTTTCCCCTGCTCTGCCTCTGGCAGAGGGCTCGAAGATTTCCCCTGCTCTGCTTGCTGGGGCTGCTCCGGTTGTGCCGCCTCTCTTCCCCACAGGAGCCTCAGCACATCTCATGTGCTGCCCACCTACTCTCTCTTCCTCTGGCTCCCCCCTCCCCACAGGGTCTGTTGGGGCTTTTAAACTTCCATGCGGCAGCCGTGCCGGCCACCGAGATTGGTCCAGCTGTTCCCCCACACAGGCAACAGCTGATTAAACAGCCAGCATAACGCTGGGTCGCATGGCTGTGGCTGCGGTCCTGGTTCCTGTGCTGCCGGGCTGGCAGGAGGTAAGTTTTTCCCACGGGGGGTCTGTTCCAGGGTTTTGGGACCCACAGAGCTTGCTTCCACCCCTTTGAAAGCCTGTGGGGGTGTGTCGCCACCACAGACCTCCCCCCTTAAGTTGCCTTGTGGTGTCTGGACTCTGTGCGCGGCGTTTTGTACAGCCTGATGTTCTTCTTCATGAATGTGGCATGGCCCCTCTTCTGACTGGTCTGGACTTCCCAGTCTGGACAGAAAATCAGCCACAAAATTATCTTTGGCCGGGCAGTGTATAACTGTAAACTTGAAAGGCTGTAACGCCAAGGCCCAGCAAGAGATTCGGGCGTTTACACGTTGTTTTTGAGTTAACCATTGTAGTGGGGCGTGATTCGTCACTATTACGAATTCTCTTCCCATTAGGTAGTACTTGAAGTACTCTATTGCCCAGTGTATTGCCAGGCACTCCTTCTCAACCATAACATACCTGGTCTCAGTACGACTGAGCTTCCGACTGGTGAAGGTGATCAGGTGCTCTTCTTCCTCACATTTCTTCAGTAATACCGCCCCCAGGGCACGGCCTGTTGCATCTGTCTGTAAAATAAAAGGGGCATCAAAATTAGGGGTGTGCATAATGACATCATGGCACATTGCCTCCTTCAAATCTTTGAAGCTCCTCCTCATATCTGGTGTCCATTTCAGTGATGCTGTGGGGGCTCTGGCCAACGCATCTGTGAGGGGTGCGGAGATTATGAATTATGAATTGCAAAATGCGGTAGAAACCATCAATAATAATTAATGAACCCCAAGAAGGACCGTAGTTGTTTGCGGGTACGCGGTTCCTGGAATTGTTTTATGGCTTCACTCTTATCGGTCAGAGGACCTATTGTTCCCCGGCTTACCCAAAACCCTAGGTATGCTGTCTTTTGTCCCGCTAGCTTGCATTTCTTGGGGTTGGCGGTTAGTCCTGCTGCTCAGAGTTCTTCCAGGACAGCTCTCAGGGCTTTGAGGTTTTGGTGCCAATTGGGAGTAAATATAATTGTATCATTGATATATGCTGCTGCATACGATGCGTGCAGTGCCAGCAAGGTATCCATCAGCCTCTGGATGGTGGCGGCTGTACCATTGAGGCCAAAGGGCATCCGTATGAACTTGACTAAGCCCCAAGGGGTGCCAAAAGTGGTCTTGGCACAATCCATAGGGCTCATAGGGATCTGGCAATACCCTTTGGCCAGGTCGAGCATAGATATGTACTGCGCTTCGCCAATCCTCTTGATGAGTTGGGTATTATGTGGCATAGGGAATGCATCAAAGGCCATCAGGGCATTTAGCTTTCTAAAATCTATACACAGGCGCAGTGACCCGTTGGGTTTGGCCACTGACACAAAGGGGCTACAGGAAGGTTGAATAATTCCCTGAGCCTGCATCTTCTTTATCTCCTGACGTATTTCCTGGTGCCAACGCTGGGGTATCAGCCACCACCTTTCCCTAACCAGTGCACCGGGCGGGGGGGG